CCCTGCGCGCCTCCCACGGGGCCGCGCAGTGCTGTCCCACTCGTCACCGCGGCGGGGCCGCGTGGCGCCGCAGCCCGCTGCCCGTCTCCGCGCTGGGAGAGTTCTGGGGTGACAGGGCCACCGCCTCCGGCCTGCGGGCGTCGCCTGACTCCGTCCTTGCTGGGGGGCGGGGGCGTTTCCGTCTCCTCGCAGAGCCGCGCGAGGCCTCGGAAAGTTTTCTGCCTCTTGGGGGACAGAGGAGGATGCAGTCCTGGCCCCGCTTTCTAAGATGGCCTGGAAAGCACCAGGCGTCCAGCGGGCGGGCTGCGCCCTAGGCGCCTCCGCTGGCCCTGGGGATGCACGTCCTTCCCGGCCCGGGGACGCGCCCCGTGCCCGCGGTGGGCCCGACCGGGGGCCGGGCACCCGGGTGAGGACAGGGCACCTGGGAACCTTCCGCCCGCACCGCATCCGGGTGGGCCGTGCCCGCCTTTGTGCACCCACCCACGGGCGTCGCCCACTCTGCAGCCTCGACGGAAGGGGGAGGTGGGGCCACATTCCCAGAAGAACAGAGTTCAAGACCTCGGGGGCACCAGGGGACTCGATCGCCCCGGGGGCTCTGAAGCTCCCCACGGGGCCCGCGCGCCTGCTGCATAGACCTGATGGGGCTGAACCGTGAGCCCTGGGTGCCACGTCCTCTGCTCACTGCAGAAGTTCAGCGGAGCTTCAGGTGGCGACGCTGCCGGGCCGGAACCGGAGCCAGCAGCCAAGCCAAGGCCGGAGGGGTGCAGGTTTTTAAAGACCCACATCTCACAAACGCGTGATTTTGATCAAGCAGCACAGATTACTTAACGCGTTCCATTTCTCCGCGATCCAATTTTATTAGGATTTACTCTCATTTGTGCTCGGCTTCTCTGGGGAAATAATGCTTTGATTAATGTAATCCTGGCCCGGGATCCGCCACATGCCCCCTCGACCTTCTCCCCAGAGAAAGGGCCTGTTTGACAAACAATAACAGACCAGCAACTCTTGCAATCTGCCCACACCTTCGGGATCGCTGGGGACAGGGTGACACAAGCTCACGCGCCGCTAGCCAGGAGCAAAGGCAAGAACAGGGCTGGGGCCGAGGCGAACTTCCCAGCCTAGGGCTCTGAGGCGCGGGCGGTAGGGTGGGCGCACGGGGAGGGACCTGCGGCCGGGGGCGCGCGTGGGCGCACGTGCGCGCCTGCCCTGGGCCGGCTCCGAGTGTCTGCCTCTTTGTCCCCCGCCACAGGCCTCCACGGCAGAGCTCCACGCACTGCCCCGGTCCCCAAGGTGTGCCCACAGCGCCCACCCGCGGCCTGCAGGCCCCTCCAGAGCAGGTCTTTGGGGGCTAACCGGCAGACCGACCTGCAGCTGCGAAAACCTCGGCCAGAGCAGCCTAGGACCTGGGACCCAGTCCGACGGCCCGCCTCGTCCATGCGCGCGTGCGTCCATCCAGCCTGGCACGCGCGCACGCGGCAGCACGAGTCCACGGGCGCCCGGGGAGCCGCGCCCAGCCGGGGCTGCAGGCTGAGGACGCGCACCCCCCTCGCCCTCCTTCTGCTCAGCCCGGCCCCCTAGCCGAGCGGACAACAGCTCAATTACGAAAAGGGGCGAAGGAGCGAGTTCCCGGCTCCGAGGCGCGCTCGGACGCTCCTTGGGTCCAGGTCCCGGTCGCGCAGTCCCCACCCCCACCGTCCTCGGCGCGGGGAGGGCGGGGACGCGGCGGCGCGAGGGGTCCTGGCCTGCTCCTCCCGAACAAAGCCCGCCGCGGGAGCCCGCGGCCGCGCACCGAGCCGGCGACAAAGGCGAGCGGCGGGCGGGAGCCGAGCTCCGAGCCTGCGCTCCTGGGGCCGGGAGGGAAGGAGGCCTGAAGGATGGGTGCGACTGGCACCCTCCGGTTTCTGGGCTGCAGCTTCCGCTCCCGCGTACCTGTGACCTGTCAGGGTGCCTCGGCATTTGTCTCGCCTTTCCGCACCCCGTCCGCCCCTCCTGTCTCGGCCCCCAGCCTCCTCCATCTCGCCCTGCTTTACGCCTTCTCTCTCCTTTTCCCCTACCTCTTTCTCACTTTGCCCTTTTTACCTTTCCCTTTTTCTCTGCCACAGACAAGCAATGCTAATTCGACTCATGCGGCCGCCCAGGTCGAGCAGCATTTTGCAAGGCCTTGCTGCGCAGTGCTCAGGGAGAAAGGGGAGTGAGGGGTCCTTTTTATTCCAGTACGCAAGCTGTAGCTACGCGAAATAAGACGCCTGCAGAGCACATCTCCCGAAACGAGCTCAGCCCTGAGGCCCCACACCCTACCCCACCCGGGGGGAGTCCCTGGCACCCACAAATCGCGGGCCGGCGAGGGTGAGGCGAAAGGGCTCGCGGCCTTCCCAAGGCCAACACTGGTGAAAGTTCTGCTCCTTCGCTCTAGCCTGGCGGGGACTGCTGGCTGGAGCGTTCCAAAAAAGTCCTAGTATTTTCGAATTTAGGAGACTTTCATGGTCGTGTTTTTCCAAGGGACGTTTTATTAGGTGGTTTTGTGATGTGAATTAAAAATAAAAAGATTACTGCCCACCCCACTAGAACCACACAAATATGCTCTGACTTCTGGGGGCTCTTGCACCTTGCTTTCACACTGAATTAGCATTTAATGTCTGTTGAGTGCCACACCAGGCTCGGGACCCTTCCCTCTGGCTTGTATTAACCAAGCTGCCTATAGAAATGTGGAAGAGAGGTCTGAGTGGTCAAAGCAGGGCCGCACACAGAACTTTTTAAGTGGGACCCACGCACCCTAGCTCGAACTGCAGGAAGCTAGTGGAGGGGGCCGAAATGATACTGCTGCACCTCAAGGCGTAAGTGAGGCACCAGATAGGAATGAATACTGCTTTTAAAGCGAACAATGGAAACGCTTTCTGGAAACACCCCTGAGGCTGCTGGGCCCCGCGGGCGCCCGCTGGGTTAGGGCAGGGAGGCAGCCTAGCAGTGGGGTGGCAGCGGCAGCGGCAGCACCCGGGGAAGGAGACCCAGCGCAGCAGCGTGTAGTAGAAATGCCCAAAAGAGCAGCCCTTGGCCCACACGCTGCAAGCGGCACCCAGCTCCTCAGACAATAGCCGGGTTCAGATGTCAAAAAATCTATTCAAAAAAAGAGGCAGCAACGACGTGCAAGAACTGTCTTCCCGTTTGGCACCCAGACTCCTTCCTCTAGCAGGTGGCGCTAAGGTTCCCACCCAGGGAGGAGGATGCTCTGAAGTGCCCAGGGGACTCTTTGGGGTCCCCAAGGGAGAGAACAATTCAGCTCGGTTCTGCTGGGACCACCGCAAGCTCGAAAATTCCAATAACCTCTCTGGTAGAGCTCAGGTAGTACTTCTGGGGTTTGCTTTTTAACACACACACACACACACACACACACACACACACACACACGGCCACCAAGTGACCTTGGAATCTTTTCTAGCTACGACACAGCCACGTTTTTCTTAAGGAGTCGGCATCATCATCCTCTTCTCCCTCAGCCTCTGTGGTCCATCAGCTGGGCTCTGCTTTACGGGCCCTGTGAGTTTACCTCTTCAGAAGACTAGGTTGTTGGGGTGCAGGGAAGGGCTGAGGGGGCTTCTGTTTCCCCAGTGATGAGCAACTCCCGCCTGCGACCTGTCAGCGCGCCCACAGCCACACTGGGTGCTGATAGACAGGGGTGGTTTCAGAAGCACTAATGGCCAACCTTCTCTGCTTCCTCAGGTTTGATCATTGTTTTTCACAATCAGAAATGCCCTGTACTTTAAAACTCTCCTATAAGTCTCAGAAAGAAAGCGTCTTCCTTCAGGGTGAGGAATCACAGTGTCTTTGAATTTATAATTACTCCTTCAAACCCATCTTTAAAAAAAAAAAAACTAAATGCTTGCTTCTTTCTTTCTGGCAGATCAGATAAGTCAGTTATCAAAGAGATACAAAGGACTGGGGGTGGGAAGGAAACCCGGGGTACACTTCAAAAAACTTAGCAAGCCCAAGAAACAACTCATTCACTGCCAGCACAACAAATTCTCCTCTCCACCCGAAAGCTGCCGTTCCGGAGTCCTCCCCTGCTCACAGAGCACGCTGTGAGGCCCTGCGAGTTTGCTGAACGTTTTAATTTGTAAGTGCTGCTGGGAGTGTGCACCCCGGCTGCATCCGTACCCCAGCACCTTCTCACTCTCACACAGAAGCAAATGAGTAAGTACCCACTTTGGGTTTGGCACATCTGACCCAGGTAATGCTCCTCATGCGCTCGTTTAGCAAAAGCAATTTCCCCATCCCCAACAATTAAAAGTCTGTAGCTTTGCCCAGCACTTTGGATCTTAATTCCTACCCAGCTAGATCGTTTCCACCCCCAAATCATTGCAGAATGCGAAAGCGGCCTCTATAGTATGTCAGTCCCTCTGAAATTAACTTGTTGCTTTACCCAGGGATCTTATTTTCTGTGTCTTTCACTGCAAGGTTACCTACGACTGGAGATTTCATGAGAGCCAAGCACCTTTTCTTTTTCTTTCGCTATTCTTTTTAAGGACAGTTTTGAGAAAGGAAAGTAAGCAGCAACTGCTTAGAGGACCACGGATGTGAAAAATCTCACACATAAAAATACAGTCGAACTGTGTAGAATGGGTGCTTCACCTGCGTTTTGCAAAATGTCTGAGGGAATAAAAAGTTTCCTCTCTCGATAACATTTCTCAAAACATGGAGAACTGCTGGGCACGCAAAGTAAGCCGGCCCTGTGAGACGTTTGTCTCAAATGTTCCAGCGGATCTGCCCTAGAAGTCTTTTGTCTGAAATGTCCAGAGAGCTGAGGAAAAAGCAATGTTTGGGCTCAAATTACAGTTTCCTCGATCCTCTACTTTCTTTATTAGCACCCACCTGAGAGTGCATTTCCTGACTCAAATGTGAGCTTGCAGGGGAAACTAAAATGCCTTCGAGTGGGCCTGCTCTGCCTACGTGAAATCCCACTTTCAGTCCTCTTCCAGCCCTCCTCCACGAAATCCCACTTTCACCCAAACCCTGACTTACTAAAATGAGTTTTAAAGAAAAGCTCATGGCTGGCAGCGGGTGGCCTGCAGCTGCAGTAGAGCACGCTGGCCCCCTCTTTCCCGGCGACTTGAGAGCTGTCTCCCAGCCGGGCGGATGCTCACAGGTGCTTTGCTGCCTGCGAGGAGGCAGCTCGATTCCGGCCGCCCAGGGGCCCCTTCTGAGTCCCGGTTAGTGACCTTCCGCCTTAATTCCTCAGAACCAGTCGGGATTCGCCCTTCGCCATTTCTGGACGTTTTCCTCATCTCCTTCATCCTTTTTCCCACAGTACCTTTCAATCTTCCATGGCAGTACCTAAAAATCCTGGAGGCAGAAACTTTGCCCTCTATTGAAACTTTTCTTCCTGTGGGTTAAGTAATACTGTACTGAAATGTTTCAAATCCACAGTCCCCCCTAACCCATGACCACTCTGTATTTTCTTTTCTCCACCACCTCTTTCAGTGGTGAATCCAAAATCTGTAAAACCACAGGGGCTTCAGAAATGAGTTGATGTTCAGTATCCTGGACGGTTCAGACTGCATCTTCAGGCTCCTGCGATTTATTTAGAAGCCAAGGCATGTATCAGGTTGAAGAACCTCCATTATTGAGGAGATAATACCTTAGAATGCTTTTTTCTCCTCGATCACTTCCCAAAATAGACAACCCAGAAGGTAGCTTCTGCAGTACCCTATTATGTAAGCACAATAATAATTTTTAAAAGCGTTTTTCCTTCACAATTTCACATCCCACTTCTGCACACAACCCTGTCGGCACTTTCCTCGCGGGAACACGACTAGTGCGTGCCCCGCGTACTCCGGGCCCTTTCGCAGACACGAGCGGCTGGGGGTGGGGACGTCATTGTACACATATTTTAAAATCCTGTGTTATGCAATGAACTCACTTTTCGTCGTGCATATGCATAGCAAGGTAAGAGTGTTTGTTCTTTTGGCAAGTTTCAAGAGCAGATTTGCTTTTGAAACGACTGTATTTTCCCCAGCGCCCGCTACAACGAGTCAGTGCGCCCCCTGCTGACGAGTCCGCAGCGCTACTCCCTAGCAAAGTTTATTTTGTTCAGTAAACCGTGTCATATAAAATTAACAACAACCAATAAAATTAGCTTATATGTTTCAACTGTAAAAGTCCAAAACAAAATAAAGCTAGTTTTAGTGGCACTAGAAATCTCTAGCTTGGCGTCTTCTCTTTGGCTGAACCAAGGTCCTTTTATCTAAAGCCCAGTGCACAAACATATAGCTTAATGTGACTAGTGTTCTGCCTTTTATTTCTTTCTCTATGGCAACCAATATGCTCTGCTCAGAAATGTTCCCCATCAAGGAAACAAATGATCTTCAGGGAGCAGCTCTATATGGCCTGTGGCCCGTCAGGGCACACAGAGTTAACCCCAGTCAAAGGGACGCTACCAAGCACATAAACCCGGGTGGAAAACTGGCCATTCTGCGCCCCTCCCCAGCCGAACCCTCTGTCTCCTTGTCACAAACCACTGCACTGACTGTTTCCAAATAAATCACCAATTCTAGCCTGCAAGGTGTGCTTCCTGAAAAGATGCCAAAAAAAAAAAAAAAACAACCCTAGCCCTCTGATTTCCCCGCCTGGCCCCAGATGCGGCTTCCTTTAAAAAGAACAAAACCAAGCTTTGCAAATCCTCTCCGGCCTCTTTCACAAAGGTAAGACTCTGCTCACGCCGCCTGGACTTGGCCTAGCTATTTCCTCCAGCCATATTCATCTAATGACTGCTCCTAGTAAATAATCGCACCCTCAGCTTTTACAAATCCCGGAGACCCGGCTAGGGGCGGGGTGGGGGAGCCAGGCTGTCAAAAATGGAAAACACAGTAAAATCAAGTCTCACGCAGAAGCTCCAGCCTCCGTGGGGAGTAAAGTCCGGGGATGTCCTGGTTAGTTTTGATTGATCACCCGCTTTAGGGATG